TGTGATTGTTGGCACCATATATAAACCATCCAATTCAAAAGTGACACGTGACAGGTAAAAGGTATTATGTGATATTTGATAAGATAGTGAAGTGAGCCACGAATGTAAGTTCACAGTAAGATGATGAACACTATATAAGAGACACGTGAAAAAAAGAGTTAAAAAAAGCAGTTGCTAGTAGTTACACACGCACGAAGAGAAGATTATAGCCTTAAGTAGTAAGAAGGAAGGAGGTTATGGTGAAAGCTAAGCCTAACTGCTTCAAAGGCATCATGAGAAGGCTATAAATAGATGAAAGCAAAGACAAAGGAGACCCATACCAAATTTAGACTTTATATCTTTGTTAATTTCATTTATTTTTAAATTTCAACACTTTATTTTTATGCACTGCACTTATATTTCATAGGAGTAGATTAACTTTGTAATCCCATAACTCGGCCGGTTTAAAGTTTTGAACATGCCCATACTAAAGGCAACATTTTGTAAATGCTTATTCAATTAATCAATTGTAATTTTTGTCCAGTCTCTCCCTCCCATTCTGTTACAAATTTGAGTTAAAATATTGTTCATCTTTTCAACCCAACTTAGTAAAGTCCTTTTTATTGAGACTAAAAAAATCTGACACAATCGCTTGATAAAATTGACATTTATTATCTATAAAGATTTTTTTAATTTTTACTAGCACGCTCAAATTATATTTCTAACATTTGAATTGTCAAAAATAGTCAACAATGGTAGATTGTTTGGTACATTTTTTTTACTTTATTAGCTAAAAATAATTTAAATAAGTTGAAGAAAAACATATTTCTAGAATCTGGGTGAAGGGTACTTTCGCCTTTTGTTTTTATATTATCAAATTTTAACTTACAATAAACTACACTAAACACACCATTTGAAAATGGGAAATTGATGCTTTTCACTTATGTTTTTTGATTATTAATTTTTAACTTACAATAAATTACACCAAATAACTCTTCTTTTTGTTTTGTTTTTTTGTTTTTGTTGATAAAAAGTAGTAACAAAGTGAGGTTGATATATGAACTACTTGAAGCCTTTCATTACTTGGCTCTTAAATTCATCAATCCCATATTATTATTAAATTTATGTCATTTTTAAATAATTTTTTTTATAAAAAAATATGAGTTATTTTAAACTTTTTTTTTATGATTTTAATTTTAAAAAAGAGTTAACTACAAAAAAAAAAAAAAAAGAGTTAACTACAAAACTACAAAAAAAAAATTCTAAGATTTCATGCATTTGATTTCATGCATTTTTCACTTTAAATCCAAAACGATTTTCCGTTCCATTGAAACACGAATGGAACTTCAGAATTTAATTTGTTAAGATTGAAATATTGAAATTTAAAATAAAAAGCGCATAAAACTTTGATTTGATTTGATTTTACTTATTTATTTATTTTTTTGGGGTTGTAATTAGCCCTTATTTTTTTACTGTACAAACAAATCTATGTCTTTTGTTCCAAATTGACCCAATAATTTGCCATAATATTGGCCTTCTCTTAATATGGGGTCCATCTGATTCCGCTCAGATACACAAATTTGGTGATCAATAATGATTGAAACTCTCTTTTTTTTTTGAGACCCTCACAACCCCTTTTGGATCTCAACTATTGATGGTGTGGATCTCACAAATACATGAATAGTTGAGATCTAAAAAGGATTGTGAGGGTTTCCAAAAAAAAGGGATCCCAAGCATTAATCTTTGGTGATTGATTTAAAAATAAATGATATAAATTTTGGGTAGAACTTACCCGTAGGTCATGTTTGTCCCCAACCCCGTGTTTGATTGGGCTACATAAGCTAAGAGACTATTGGGGCTATGTTTGACCTGAGTTTTTTTAGCTATTTTAGTTACAAAAAGATGAAATAGACTAAAAACTTAATAAGATAAAATGTCACTTTCAAACTATAATTATTTTATTTTTTTCTCACAAAAGTTAAAAAAAGTCAAAAAGTTCATCACAGACGGTACTTTTTAGTCCAAGGTTAAAATAGTCAAAAAGTCAAAAAACCAACTTATATCACAAACGAAAGCTGAAGCAAAATATCTATTTTGCCCCCTATTTATCAATCACAATAAAATCTATTTTTTTTTGCAATAAGAGATTTTATGTAATTTCATAAATTTAATCTCAATCAATTAATATTACCACACTACTCATCAAACAAATAAACTTTATCTTATATCTTTAACTTAATACTATCATATTACTTATCTATTCACTCAATTTTACCTTATTCATAATCTTATTTAATTTAATTTGCCAAACAAACATGACTTTAGATCCTTCTTTGAGAGGAGAGTACTTATAATAAGTTATATTATATGGCCAAACCTATTATTAACTCAAGTGAGATAGATGGTAATAAGAGGAGACCTATTATGATGTATGCTTGCAAAATTCCTAAAGTTATCGCAGCTACTTTCCATACAAATTATTGCCACAAATCTACAATAGATCATTAAAAAATATAAAAAAAATACTAATAAATTTTCTTTTACTCTGAAGATTACTATTGAGTCTTATCAAATTTTAGTATAAACAATTAAATTCTATTTGTCATAAAATGTTGTCAAAAGGTTTATTGCTCCATAATGGTGTATCTTATTTCAATTTTACCCTTATCATTTAATATGAACAATAATTTTATAAATAATTTTAACTTACTTAAAATTTAAAATTTTAATTGTAAATATTATATTTAAAAAAATACAAATCACAATTGGGTCAAAACAACTATGGAAAAAATGAAATATTTTATTTTATTTCAAATTATGAATTTTGTAGTGTGAACAATCTAAAAGGGCTAAATTCTATTAAAATTATAAAGAGTTATGAAAAATAATACTATGAAAATTTATATATATTTCTCAATGTATGGGATAGTTGATAAATCTTATAATTGTAAAAATTATTTGAAATTTATTTAATTTCAACAATTAAAAATAAGTTTATTATGAAATTTTAAATAAATTAAAATTATTTATAAAATTTTTGGTTAGTCTTTTAATGAGAAATATAAATTTAAATAAAATATACTATTATAAATAATTGAATTTTTTTATGACAATTTATTATAAAATAAAAAAGAAAAAAAGAGTTATTTGCTAACATTGAAATTTGATATAACTTAATAGTAATTTTCAAAACCAAATAAAATATATTGATAATTTTTTCATTGTTGTTAAAGATTTTTTAATACAATATCATAATTTTTGCAATTCAAAAATATAATTTTATTTAGATTAAAAATATTTATGAAATTGTTATTCATATTAAATAAGAGATAAAATTGGAATAACATGCACCACTATAGATCAATGAACTTTTTAAAAATGTTTTATGAAAAAAAGAATTTAATTATCCATATAAAAACTTGATAGGACTCATTAATAATTTTAAAAACAAAATAAAACTTATTAATAATTTTCTTAATTTCGTGGTTTCAACACTAACATTCCACACCACAAACATCAACAACACATAATGAGCAAGGAAAATCAATGGCGACTGTAAAATTTTTAATGGATGGGTAATTTAGAAACATACATTTTAGGGGAAATTAAAATAATAATAATAATAATAATAATAATAATAATAACATAAAATTCTTAGAATTTGACCCCTATAACAGAAGGGAGACTTATGTATAAGTCTTAATAGGTGTACTTATTATCCAATAAGTCCTATAAGAATTACTGGCGTTTTTCATTAAACACTATTACAAAAAGTCACTAATTGTTAATTTCCAGCGACGATTTGAAAATTGTCACAAAAAATATCACTAATTACAAGTTTTGGTGAAAGCTTAAAAAAAAGTTAGAAAAAAAGTCACTAATTTTTAACTTTCAACGACAATTTAAAAATTCGTCACAGAAAAAGTCACTAATTATAAGTTTTAACGACAATTTATAAAAATCGTGACAAAAAAGAGTCACTGATTATTAATTTTTAGCGATATATGTAAAAAAATTATCAGAAAAAATTATTTTTAGCTACAATTTTACTAGAACTTATTTATAATAAGACTTGATGAGAATTAAGTTTAACTATTAGAACCTATTGGTAGTTTATCCTAACAAAATAAACTTAGAATTTTTAATTTTGTCAATTTAAATATAGGGGATGCACCAATAAATCCCAAATTAATAACTTATGCACTGTTTAGTCCTAAAAGTTTTCTTATAGACTGAAAAGTCCCATTACAATGTTAATAACATCAGATACAATGTTAGTAACATCAGAGTCATGTTACAAACATTAGATTTCAAACATCTAATGTTCATCAAATTTCAATAATGTTTCAAAATATAGGATGAAAAAATCTAATGTTCATCAGATTTCAATAAATTTAGAAATTATAGAATGAAGCATCAGATCATTTACATCATTTACATCATGCTGATGTAAAAATGGGACTAAATGGAGCATAAGAAAACTTTTAGGACTAAATGGTTCAACGTTTCAAAAACTAGGACTTATGGGTAAATTTTCCTTAAATATACTTATATTTTTAATCTAAACTATTTGTTTAGTTTTGTTTAAGTAAGATCGATAAAAAATGATATTTTGGTCATTATGCTCTACAAAAAAAAAAAAATATGGTATTTTAAATATTTTACATATCTATATTGAGTTTAATAATTAAAATATTATTATTTTTTTTATCAATTTTACTTAACAAAAATAAGCAAATGGTTTAAATTAAAAATAAATTAAAACATGAAAATTTAAATTGATAAAATAAAAAATAAAAAAATTATTTTATTATAAGGGTCAATTGTAGAATTTTATTTGTAATTTTTCACACTATATCAAATCTATAAGAAAAATAACTTCTCTTGTACTACATTCAAGTTTTCAATGGTAACAAATAACAAACTAAATTAAATATTCAAATCATAAATAAAAGAAATTTTTTAATTATTTTAATAATTTAATTCAACGAGAATTTATATTTTGAATGATAATATCATTGCCAACAATATCAAACACATCTTATTGTTATTATATATGTGACCATTAACAATCATTAAAACAAAATACAATATCCATAGATCATTGAAGTTTAAAACTCAAGAAGAAAAAAATAACACTCCAGACCTTTCAAGTGTGCCACAAGCTCACCATATTTCGTTTGCCTTTGCTAGAGTTGATTTTTTCTTTTTGTTATGCTTGATTATTGAGGTCGAGAGAGATGAAGCAACATAGAAAATCAACCTTATTGACAGTGTAAAACCTGAGTTTTATATAATTGGATCGGGTCACTTACTATTTTTATAGTAGGATCAAATATTGAGTTCAATCACCACCACCCCCAACCACCACCACCACCACCCCGGTTTTCTCGTTCAAACTCGGATCCGATCCAGGCAAGATTTACCATTGAGTTCATTGCTTTGTTGAAGCTCCAAATACTCCCTATATGTAATTCCATGGTATGCAATGGGATGGAATTCAGTGTCCACCAACTCTTGGGCAGGACTTACAACTTTATCAAGTGGAGGTCCATGGGATGTTGCTATGGAGATCCTGTTTGCTTTGTTGTTCACCATGGCTCGGTGTACAACACTCTTGTATTTGCCATTGGTCAGTATCTGCAATATACCATAACAATTGATATTACCAAATGCGAAAAATAAATCAGAAGCACATTTGTATTACATGGAAAACACATTTTCAGAAATGAATTCTATACACAAATCTTGTACAATCTTGTCTATTCATGCGACTTTTATGTTTTTGTGCTCATAATAATATGACCGTCTACAAGTTATATTCAGTGGGGTGTTTGTTATAACTTCAACTTGTCATAGTGCCAACCTATGATCAAATCAAAGTGGGATCAACCTTGGTTATCACCAAAAGTGATATTTGAATATGCCCCAAACTAGACTTACATGTGCTGACGCCCTGGACTAGACAACTCCCCAAAAATTACATACCATCTGCATTCTCACTATTCAGTTGTTGGATTTAAAAGTTGAACCTGAACCATTTGTCATAGCTACATTTGGTTGTAATTAATGCTATTTTGAGGCATAATTGATCATTTTACTTAATTCACCACAATGAGGTGTAACTAACGTTCTTTTGGAAAGTAATCAGAAATCAAAACAAAATATAACCAATTTTAATTTGATAATTTACTAGAACCACCACCATAATGACAGGTAACCAAACACTACAATACTTCTTCGTAACCAAACACCAATTTAAACCTTACTACCATAATAGCATGACAAAGGAATGTAATAATATATTTACCTCCATGTGATCTCCAGTATTCACAAGAATGGAATTAGGAAGAGGATTAATAGGGACCCACTTGCCATTGTGTAGGACTTGAAGTCCACCAAGCTGGTTCTGTATGAGGAGGGTCAATAAGCCGTGGTCCGAATGAGGAGGCATGCCAATGGCCAACTCTGGTTGTGGGCATGGTGGGTAAAAATTGACAACAAGAAGTTGTGACCCAAATTCAACCTCCATTGCTTTATCTATGTAGTTTTCTTCCAATCCCAAGCTCATAGATATCCCTTTGAGTAATTCACTTGCCACATCCCTGGCCCTTTTGCAGTATTCTTGTGAAATTTCTCTGCAAGAATGCAACATGGTGTTGGGACTTTTTTTGAATTTTAATTTTATATATGTAAGTAATTTTGTATATACAGACTAACTCAATAAGAAATGTAATTCATCTAGTAAATGAGAGTGTGAGCTTCAGATTTTGAATAACATTTTGATATAAGAGGTGAAAATTTAACAATTATGTTATAGGCATAGAAAGAAGTGTACAAGATAGACATAGACAGTGGACTTCATGCTCATTGTGTCGATTCTCTGCATTTCTTTCAATTCTTCCATGTTTCAATCGATCAAATCCCTTTGCCCCTCGCTCTTCGAGAATCAAAAAGATCATTTTTAAGTTTGAATTTGTTAATTTGGAATTTGGGTTCTCCTACTTCATTTTTATTTACATTTTTTTTTTCATCTCAACAAATCATTTTTTTTCCACAACGGCATGTAATATCTTTCTATGGGTTCACGGGTCTCTTTATTAAAGCCTATTTGTGGCGCACAATTTCGTAAAATGTAGGTAGTGGTTATGATTGATTTTTCATTTTATTTTCTATTATCGTTAATGGTAGAATCATTACATATATGCTCCGTTTGTTTAGGCAAAAAATATTTTATGAAAAATATTTTTCGTATTTTTTAGCATTTGGTAGAATGAAAAATGAAAATCAACGAAAAACATTTTTTATGGTCAATAAAAAATAAGTCTATGTGAACATAAAATATTTTTTATTTTTAGAAAGCAAAAAATATTTTTCGGACTAAAATTTTACCAATACCACCATCACCACGAACATTGCTATCACCTTCATCGCCGCCCCGCCACCATGCCACAACCTCTTCCCCCACCATCACTCCACCACCACCACTACCAAACATAGAAAAATGTTTTTCTAAAAAATTTTTTCCGTACAAAATGTTTTCCACAAACAAATGAAGCAATAGCATGCCCAGTCTGTAATATCTTATTTTTGTAATAAAAAATACTAGGTTGAAATATCTATATTAATTAATAATACTACAAAATACACTTTATTCAAAGATTAACCTTGTTTGGTTTGTTTTTCAGAAAAATTTTTAGGAAAAATTCTCTACAAACAAATTTTCAAGAGTAATCAAATCAAACAAATTTTTCTAAAAAAAATTTCAAAATTTTGTTTGGTTACCTACTTTCCAAAATCACTATCTCTCATAGACATCAAATCAATTACTTTTTTTAAAACTCTCCCCAAAACAATTTTCCAAAACCATTTCTGAAAAAAGACAAATCGAACAGATTTTCGTACTTTTTATCTCAAAAACTACTCTACAAACATTTTTTTTTTTTTTTGTCGGTCCAAGACAACGTCCCTTGCAGAGATCATCAATGTGTTTTGTTATCCGTTCTAAATAAGACACTATAATCTGAGAACTTACTTCGATTTTTCAAGACAAATTCCGCTTAATTCAAGACTCACACAGCTGGAGAATATTAATCCCACACCAAGTGCTGGTAACAACAACTTGAGACTTAATTTCCTAAGCAATTACGTTACGCCCAAAAGGTGGGCTCAAGGAGTTTTGAACTTGAGATCTAGGTCTTAACCTCCAAGCAGTATTTACCAAGTACGCAACATTCCTTGAGTTAAGATTGAGTTCTTACTCAACAAAAATAAATAAATAAATAAATAAAAACAAAAAAAAATGTCAATAAAACGATGACATCAATTCAAAAGCACTTTTTATTTATTATTATAAATATAGCAGACAGAATTCCATTGGTCTGATTCGGGACCTTAAGATAGATTTTGACCCCCATAGAAGGGAAGAAGAAGCTGCATAGGCTTAATGTGAATTAGTTGGATGGAAAAGTTGCTTAGGCCCAATTTAAATTGTATTGAGAGTTGGTTGTCTAGACCAGACCTCCCAACCTTTTTTTTGGAGTTTGATGTAATTCTTTATGTTTGGGCTTTATTATCAAGTTGTCACAAAAACTTAATTAAAATTTTACGACAACGATAAAGTGTAAAACATAAATTTAAAAGTATAAAATTTACTAATTTTTTTTTTAAAAAAAAATCACTAAATACAAAAAATTATAAAAATTCAATATATTTTTATTTTTGTATTTATTGAATTCCTTTTAAATTTCTTCACAAATATTATGTGTTAAGTATATTTAGATTGTTGGGATAGTTTAATTTAGAGTTAATTAGTTAAAAGTCCTATTTACAAATGTTATGGTAGATCAGATCCTAATTAAAATTGTTTGAACAAGTTTTATTTAGTAAAACTAAGAATATTATCAGTTTTTTTTATATATATATATATGTAGTCAATTGGATTTGGTGGTTGCTTGGATGATTTCATCATCTAGTTCCTAATTATTTTTTCAGTGTGTAATGGTCCTCTTGGAAACAATTACTATTCCTTTTGAGCAGTTCAATTTAGCTGATGCCAGGTGGTGTGGAATCTCAAGTTTGACAATTAGAATATTCTTAAGGTATGGATTCTGAGAGCCAATGCATACTTTGTGCTGAATTAGTTAACAAGAGATTGTCATGACCATGTTAAAGTGGTAGGAGTATATGACATACCGTAGCATGTGATTTGACATTATGCAAATTTATAATTATGAGTAAAGCCCATAAACCTAAAATTACTTACGTGCTCCAGGCTGTTGAATTTACCATATTATGCCAGTGATTACAGGGTTTTTGGATTAAAATTCAACTTTTGCATCAATAGTCAGTTTTCCATTAAATTTTCAACCAACTACCTTCCAGTGTGATCTACATCTGGTTCTGTATGATTGACTTGGTAAACTTGCTACTTATTCTAGGGTGGGGCGGAATTGTGTTATTCAAATCTTGAAAGATTGTTATATTTTGATTTTGTACTTTAGGAAACAAAACTTGAGAAACAATCTGCTAAAACCTCCGTCAAATTTGGTGCGGGAGAACCCATAAAGACCCAAATTGAGAAACAAAATGATAAAACAGTTATGCCATCAGATGCTCGTGTTCGGCATCTTAAAGATCAGCTTATCCAGGGAAGGGTGTACCTTTCCCTTACAGCTACAAGAAACAATCCCCACTTTATAAGGGAGCTTTGGCTACGGATGAAGGAAGCTCAACGATCACTTGGGGAAGCAATCAAGGACTCTGAACTACCAAGGAAGTAAGTCTTCTCTCTTTATATTGTTGTTGCCATTTGCTTGTAAAGTAGTCTAGCTTCGGGTCCACAAGAAGCAGACCTTGTTTCTAACGCACTTGACTGCAAAAACACTACCTAAAGGTCTTCACTGTCTTCCCTTGCGCCTTTCAACCGAGTACTTTAGTTTGAATTCTTCAGAGCGGAACTTTCACAATCAAGAGAAACTAGAAGACCCTAGGTTGTACCACTATGCACTATTCATAGATAATATATTGGCAGCAGCAGTTGTTGTGAATTCCACTATTTCTCATGCAAAGGTGTGTGATTTGTTTGCCTGGGAAAATTTCACTTGCTCATTATGATAGTCTTAAGAATTCTAATTTTTCTTTTCCTTAGCAAATAAATGAAGTCTAATCAATCTTTTCTTTTGACGGCCCAAACTTCGTTCTTCTAACATGTCATTGGATTCGCAAAAGGAGTCTCTCCTATTGATTTACTTAACGTAGAGCGGTATTGCCTTGGTACGTTGGGCAACTATTCTGTCCACTTATCTTTAGTTGTTTCCTATCTCTTTTTGATTCTGTCCAGAATAGTCTTGTTCAAAGCCTTGGCTTGGCCATTTCTATGAGGAAAGCTAGGAGTTGAATAGTAATTATTGATCTTATACTTAGCACATAAAGTTTTGATCAGCTTGATGTCAAACTCTGTGCCATTATCTGCTTCTATGGCTATCGATATCCCAAACCCAGTGATGATATTCTTCTAGATAATGGTCTTGATGTCCACATCTCGGCTCTTGGCTAAAGGTTGCTTTTTTTTTTTTTTTTTTTTTTTGATCGGCAAAAGAGAAACTTCATTGATGAAAGACAACCGAATTACATCAATAAAGAAGAGAAACCAACAAGAAGAAGCTCCAAGTTGGTGAGAAACCAACAAAACAAGGAAAACAAAGATAAAAAAACACAAAAAAAACTGCAGAAACTTGGAGCATCAAAACAGCACCAAAAACCGAACAAGCTCACACCAAAAACTGAGACCAGTAGCACAACTAAGAATCACCCTTGTACAACAACTTACAGTAGCACTAACTGAGACCGCCAAAAAACTGAGACCAGCAGCACAAACTGAAACCACCAAAAACTGGATCTTCTGGCACAGATTTCTTCACAATCTTTCCTATTCCTAGCCCCCTAATAATCACCCTTGAGAGCACCTTACTGTTTGACCTTCCCCTCTTTGATGATTCTCTTTTTGTCCTTACGCTCTAGGTCCATGATCTTATTTAAGGCTACATCCTCTTGACCATTGAAGTTGATACCAAGAGTTTTCCCCAATTGGATGGTAGCTGTGGCTTCTTGAAGAAGGTAATTATTCAGGCTTGATTCAGACTCAGACAGTTCCGACTGTGCAATTGCTGCTGCTGCTGGTCTATATATGATAGATTTTGAGGTGGGTTTGTTGACAGCTTTGTACCCATGGAGTCTGGAGAAGGTAGTAAAACCCTCTAGGTGGGCCTTTTGTTTCCCTTTTTTCTTTACATTTCGAAGAGGTTTTGAGATAGCAGCTGATTGCCTAATATGGCCTGAATGGTTTAGGCACAAAGCCAAGAGCCCATTACAACCAGGTTTAACATTACAAGGCTCAATAGGCCTGGAGAAAGGATCACTAACAAGGTTGTTGCTAATTGATTGGGCCAGATCCACTTCTAGATTAATGCCAGGCTGGAGACCCTCTCTAGACCCACTAAAGCTTTTCATAAAACCCTGTGTAAAGACTTGCTCAACACACCTCTGATTGCCATCATTACTTTTAGGACTGTGCACAGGCTCTTCCAGCATCATTACCTCTACATACGCTCCCTCCTTGCTGCAGCTTTCTGAATCCAACTTTGTCTCCTCAACTACAGTGCTTGCCTTCTTTCCAATTCGACATGCAGTAGGCTCCTTCCTCGGTACTACCTCATTGGTGTATACCAACTCAGCAGCAAGCTTGTCACATCCTGCTGCCACCTCATCATCATCTTCATACTCCCTACAGCCCTTCTCTAGGAAAGTCTCTGCCTCTTGACTAGAACAAAGAACATTAGAACTACAATCTTCCATACCATTAAGCTTCATGATGCTAAGATCTGCACTATGATCATAGGAATGTATTCTGCATTCATGACATTGTATACTACTCAATTTTTAACAAAGTATCTGGTTGTGCATTGGTGTAACTGGTTGATTCACTTATTTCAATGAATGGAGGTTTTTTGCACCTTCTCTGCTTCCTCGTGCATCCGTGCATCCGTCTCCACTTTTATTTTAAATTTATTGAATGTTTGTAGACTTGAGGCCACCAGGCACCAAGCATTCCTTTCCTGAGTGTGCTTTTTTTTTTCCTTATTATTATTATTATTAATTTTTTCTGTTGTGCAGATGAATAACAGTCCCACAACTGGCAGTGTTACAACTACTGTTGCTGAAAAGCAGCGACTAGCAAGTCTAGTCTTGCTTTCAATTGTAAGACGTAAGTCTCTTGCAACACTCAAAACAGTATTCTGCGATTTTCTTACCTGTTTTATTACTCTTTCCATCGTCATCTGTGAGCCTACTACCACTATCGGCCACCTCTATTCCTCTCTCCGTCCCTCTCCTTCACCTTTGACCCTTGCCACATATGGCCACCTTTTTGGCATACACGAAACTACAGAGGCATGAGTAAGTCATAGACCTATATATATTTATTACATTATTGAGAACACAAAAACATACCAGTAATTGTATTTGCAGGAAATGGAATATACAAAACATACAAACCCTCATCTCAGTGCATAAAATTGAATGCTTTACAAATTACATTCTCTCTTGAAATATCACAAACCTTGGGGGTGAAGGAGACAGGTAGGTAGGTACACATTTTATGCTCTGCTTGACTGTCAAATGTTCACACAACACAAAACACATACAAACCCTCATCTCATTGTCTATATGCTTTGTTCTTTCTTTATTGTCCTACTCATTAATTTTTGTTTGGATCATCATAGTATGAACCAGTTGAAATCATTAATGAGGAACAGATTTCAGTAATAAATCAATATTTATTTTGCTAGTTTGAAGAATTGATCTCTGATATATGCCCCATTTTGAAAGGGCAAAAATTAGATTGTATTGTTTTCTTGAATTGATATCTACTGAGGCATGTATGTTCTCTCCAGATGAAGAAATTTTAGCTAGAAGGCAACTTCCTCCTGAATGCCACCCTGAACTTCATACAGATTATGATGGTCCTTCACTCTTATGAGTAAATACATTTATGTGATGAACGTGAAGTTTTTTTTGAATGTGGGTGTTTGCAGGTGGTGGAGATGAAGAGTTTTAAACCTGTTTTTTGCTAGCTTTATTATTGGCAATAATTATAATTTGCTAAATTTTTATTTATTTATTTTTGGGTTAGCTTCTCTATTTTTTTGACCGATTCCAGTGTTTTTTTGTATGAGCTTTGACCCATGAATGAGTTTTCCAATATTTTAATGGTTTTATTAACATTTTTTGTGGGGTATGGTTTGTGGTTAAATATAAATAGTTAGGAAATGTTACAATGTTCTTGTGTTGTTTGTCAAATGTAAAATTGTAGTCATTTGGAAGAGGAATTAAACTTGTTTGGTTTATTTTTGTTTATGTGCTTCTATATAAGAATCCTTAACTTTCAGATTTGATCTTATTTAGCTAATAGTGCAATTTGACAATTAAATCCGTATTTTGCTAAATTTTTGTTTTTTTTTTATTTTTTGAGAAGCATTATTTTCAGAAATGAAAGTAGCTGATATTTTTTTCCCCCATAAATAGCAGTGGATTTTTTTTTTTAAATAATAAGGAGAAAAGATGGCGTTTTTGAAAAACGTCACTAAAGCTAGTTATATGACGTCAGCGTTTAACTGTGACGGATTTCACGTTACGGATGTATAAGAATTTACAACGTTTTAAAAAGCGCCGGCTAACGTCATTAGTGACGTTTAATAAACGTCATAAACTTAAGACGGCGGCCGTATCTGCGACGATAGTTATAAACGTCACTTTATCCTTTAACGGCGTTTTTATGACTTATAGTGGCGTTTTTTAAACGTCGCTAATGGCCAAAATTCCTGCAGTGTCTTCTCCCAGATTTAGCTAGCAAGAAAATTAAAAAATACCATAAAGAATCCCCAGTCGCGGCATGCGTTACCAGTATCTTGGATGACTTTGAATCGTTGATCAGGATCACCAGAAGTTAGTAGGAAAAAATCAATGGTTGGGATTGCTTCTTCTTGGGAGAGGACTGTATCATCTTCTTGACTCGAGGACGCAATAATAAACTTAGATGGAATAGCTGACTGATAAAAACCTGAATGAACGAGTCCTTTTACGCTATACATCTTGTTGGAGAGAAAAGAAACAAGAAACAAGAAACAAGAAACAAGAGAGAGAGAGGGAGAGAGAGAGAGAGAGAGAGAGTTTGGGTTGGGATAGATCTAGGTAAGTTTGTTTGCAAGAAGAAAGCAGCTCTGGCTTTAAAGGCGATGAGATTAGTTCACGGCGATTAATTGGGATGCGCAAAAATTGGTTCGAATACTTAATTATAAGAAAAAATAGAAAATATTTGAAATTTTAAAAAAAAATTTCCATAATTTCACCTCTAATAATGTGAAATGATTAGTTTCAATTTTTTATTTGTCACATACTTAATTATACAGAGTTCTACTCCCTTAACACGTCATTAAAACTACAACTAGGGTGATAAAATAGAAAAATGTAACAAAACTCAATGCGACGGTTAGTGCCTTGATAGATTCCTAGAATGGTGGCTGGAACCATGAGTTTCTTACTCAACAATTTCTGGGTATTGATGTTGAAGCTATTCGGCGCATTCCTCTTTGTCCAACATTACCTTCGGATAAATTGGTTTGGCACTTTACGTGGAATGGAGAGTTTTCTGTGCGATCGGTACATCATTTGTGTGTGGAAATGAGCCACTCAGACGGCCACGGTGTATCCTCTGATGATGGCATGTTAAAAAAATAGTTTTGGCGCACTCTATGGCAGCTTCGTATTCCGAATAAAATCAAGATCTTCGGCTGGAAAATGTGTCTTGGGTTGTCACCAGTTCGGGCAAACTTGCGGAAACGCCATATTGTGAATATGGATTTATGTACGTGGTGTGGAGATGAGGTTGAAACAGTGGGCCTGTGGAGATGAGGTTGAAACAGTGGGCCATTGTTTTCACAATTTTTGGTTTGCG